TGTCATACCTTGAAATAAGAAAGAGGCTCAAACAAGTTACTAAGCCGGATGATCTTTCGGGTCCCCGGTACGTAGCCCCCTCCTCGACTCGAGTTGTTCGCTCGAGTACACAGTCTAGAACAAATACCCAGGTTTTGAACCTAGAATAACTCAGCCTCATGCCGGATCCCTAGTAGGAACGTTTGTGTGCATCATGTGCATTTGACTTAGGGGAATCAACACAGGGGTTGGGTCCGTCTAGGACAGGTGACCCGAAATGAAAACAGACCATCCTGATGCATCCTACTACTTGTGCATGTATTTGCTTCGGACTTGCATGCTGACCGGCTTTTGAAATCTGGGGAAAAGTTGAGAAGAATAGTTGGATAGAGTTCAAGGGAGTTAATTGTCTGTGTATGAATCTGGGCAATTCTCATATTCGGACTTATATTCGAAGTTGAAGTTAAAAAAATGTTGTAAAGATTGAAATATTTGGTAGAGTGGGAATTGAAATAGTTGAAATACAGCTTCAATTCACAACTTCGACTTGAATTTTGTCTTTTAAGTTTTGATTTCAAACTTTGCTTTCAATTTATACGAAATGTCAACTTGCAAGCTCAAATCTGTGAATCCACTAACAAATTCCGCCTAAAAGTATCAAACATTTTAAACGGATTGTTATCTGATTAGCGAGTGACGAAATATGCAGGTTGAAGATTTGATGAACGAAGTAGATCGCCATGTACCTTATTTACTGAAGCAGACGTCATGCCAAGCTCTGTTGCTGGCTCAGAAGGCTCCTGAATTAGCTCGAGATCTCGCCGGCGAGATACAGCGTGATGGCTTAGTTGACACGGCGAGCAGGGTAGCCAAAGCGCTTTACAAAAAGTACGAACCTACAGCCAAGGAGCTATACGAAAAGTACGAGCCACTAGCCGAGAAGAATGCTGTTTCGGCTTGGCGGTCTTTTAACAGGCTTCCGCTATTCCCTCAAGTGGCTCAGATTTTGGTGCCTACGGCTGCTTATTGGAGCGAGAAATACAATCAAGCTGTGGCGTATGCGTCAGAGAGAGGCTATGCGGCGGCGTATTATTTTCCGATTATTCCTCTGGAGAGGATCGCGAAGGTGTTTGAAGGCGGCGCCGGCGCCGCTGAGAACGGGCATTCCGTTTCCGTGAATGACGGTTCGGTTACTTTGGTGCAATGACCATTTTTGCATTTCTTTAATTTTTTCAGTATGTGACGTAAGGATGGACTGGGCCCATTGGGCTTTAATGGGCCGCTGGGTTTAATAATTTTGGTTTGTTTGTTTCTTACATTGTTATCTGTAGTGAAAAAAAGCACTAATTGTTATCTTTATATCATAAGCCATTATTTATCTAATTCCTACATATACTGTATTAGTGTGCTCATATTTCTTGCTTCTGAAATTCCACTGAATAACTGGTACCATCGCTAATGTAATCGGTTTCTAGCCATTTTTACTTAAAATATATTAGTAAATAACATAATTGCCCTTGAACTTTTTAACATTCTGATTAGTTACATTTCATTTGTTATCGCTCTTATCTTTCTTTTTGCAACATTGTACAAATTTCGCTTTCGTTAGAGCACTTTCTTCGAATTTAGTCCGGGTTAGGTCCAATTTTCATCAAATTTATCTGGGTGAGTGTTGTTTTACAATAATGTGTTTGAATTTTCGTTGTTATTCTTGTTTCGTTAGTTTTAAGTTTGATTTTCGTACTGTAGCGTTTAAATATTTGTGGTATTTTGACTTTTACGATTTTTTTCTCTGTTCAGTAGTTCGTCTTATTTCTGATAATTTTGTTATTAGTTTTATGTTGTAATGTTGTAATCGTTGCGTAATTTGTTTTGATAAGTTGTTCAAATATTTTTTTAGTCTCTGTATATTAGGGTTAATTTTCAAGTATTTTTTCGCTTCAACTGCATTATAGATTTCTCGAGTTCTTGTTAGAACTTGATTCCAGTATATTTTACGGGAAGTCTGCTGTCTGTAAGCTTGTTGTCCAAAATGTTACACTAGATGAGTTTTGTTTAGACTAGAGTTTTGTTTTGTTTGCGATTGATTTTTTTGAATGATTACTTGTCTTTTTTTCAATATTCTATTTGATTATGTTTCTTATTTATACTGCAGTATTTGTTTCCGGAGTTTCATTGTTTCTAATTAATTTGATCCAGTATGTAATACTTGAGTTTTGTTTGATTCCAGTATATTTTAGGGGAAGTCTGCTGTCTGTAAGCTTGTTGTCCAGTATGTTATACTGGATGAGACTGCTTAGACTAGAGTTTTGTTTTATTTGTGATTACTTTTTTTGAATGATTATCTGTCTTTTTTTAATTTTTTTTATTATGCTCTTTGATTATGTTTCTTCTTTATGTTTACCGTGAAAATGGTAATAACAATTAAATTTGTTGATGGGACTCTAAAAATACGTGATCTATTTTTATGCTAGTCGTGGAGCAGTTGATGCTGTGAGTGCATAGTTTGAGGGTGAGACGCGAGCAAAAATAAAGCAGTAATCGAACCGAGAGATAGCCGTTCGGGGCCTCAAGCTGGTCGATTTGGAGCCTCGAGGCCGAGTCTTGAGCTCGGGCTCGAGCTATCGGGGGAAATCAGGAAGGGCTAACAGATGCAATAATATTAAAGGAGGCTCTTTATAGCCAATAATAAGCAATAAACAAGCAATGAATATGAAACAAGTATGAAAATAATAGGATAGAACAACAGTGTCGAGAGAGTATCTTAGAGAGAAAGAGAGAGAG